TTAGCTGGTGGCTGGTTGATATGTTAGCTGGCTGGTTGATATGTTAGCTGGCTGGTTGATATGTTAGCTGGCTGGTTGATATGTTAGCTGGCTGGTTGATATGTTAGCTGGCTGGTTGATATGTTAGCTGGCTGGTTGATGTGTTAGTTGGCTGGTTGATGTGTTAGCTGGCTGGTTGATGTGTTAGTTGGCTGGTTGATGTGTTAGCTGGCTGGTTGATGTGTTAGTTGGCTGGTTGATATGTTAGCTAGCTGGTTGATATGTTAGCTGGCTGGTTGATATGTTAGCTGGCTGGTTGATATGTTAGCTGGCTGGTTGATGTGTTAGTTGGCTGGTTGATGTGTTAGCTGGCTGGTTGATGTGTTAGTTGGCTGGTTGATATGTTAGCTGGCTGGTTGATGTGTTAGTTGGCTGGTTGATGTGTTAGTTAGCTGGTTGATTCGCTGGCTGGCTAGTGTATTAGCTGGCTGGTTGATTTGTTAGTTTGCTTGTTGATTAGCTCGCTGGTTAATATGTTAGTATGATGGTTGATTAGCTGGTTGGTTGATATGTTAGTTGATTAGCTGGCTGCTAGTTGCTTGACTGGTTAATTAGGTGACTGACTGCTTGTTTGACTAGTTAGTTGCTTGATTGACTGACTCATTGGCTAGCTGGTTGGTTGAGTGCTTGACTGGGTTGTTCATTGTTTGATTAGTTGGCTGGTTGGTTTGTCAGTTCACTGATTGGTTGATCGATTGACTGATTTGTTGGCTAGCTGGCTGGTTGGTCAGTCAGTTGGTTGGTTGTTTGACTCTTTAGTTGCATGGTTGACTGGTTGATTAGCTGGCTGGTTAGTCAGTTGACTGGTTGGTTGGCAGGTTGGTTATTTGGCTTCTGGGTTGGTTAGTTGGCTTGTTGTTTACTTGACTGGTTAATTGGTTAGCTGGCTGGCTGGTTGGTTGCCTGGTTAACTGCCTGGGAATTCCTCTGAAAGACTACTTTCATTATTTGACTCCAATGCAATCTTTATATGAAACGTCTCTGCTGTTGCCTGAAGGTTTGACACCCCTGTGACCCAGTCAGACACATCTTGGATGTTAACCCCTGAGGACAAACCAAGATACTGTATTCAGTCTTCTGAGACATGATTTCTTATTTGATGGTCTGCAGACTCCCCGGGGGTAACATATTTATAGGGTTCGTCATATCATTTATCAATAAACTCTCAACTTTAAATTGCAATCCGTTTTTGGAATTGTAATATCTATCAGTTATAGTAGGAGCCACCATGGTGTAGTGGCTAGATGCTCATCTGCACATCTGAAGGTCATGGGTCGGGTCCCTGATGAAGCTGGACTTTATCAGAAATGACCTCTGCTTCTAGGTCGACCTAGCTTTAAATGGGTACCCATTAAAGTCTTGGGAAATGAAGATGGCTGGCGTGATGTTGACAGCATTGCCCACCGAGTACAGATTGGTCCATAAATTATGGGTCCAAAACAGTACGGCTGAAGGCATGGAAAAAGACTGCACAAATGTTGCTAAGTTCTTCAGTATGTATTAAGTATGGGGTCTGTAGCAGATATTTTGGAAATACAAGGAGTTCATGGGTCTTAGGAAAGCCGGATCTACTGCTCTTAGAAGTTATAATTATGGCACCCTGATATACGCACTGACTACACTATTGTATCCAGCTCTCCGTGCATGGGCGAAGGATTGTGCAATTCATTCTGTAATTATCCCTGTCTTCAAATATTAAGCGACCCTTTTGAACCTTTTAAAATATTAAATATTTTTAAATATTAGGGACCCTTGTAAATCACTTAAATATTCAATATTTTTATCCCTGTTTGGGCTCCGGGGGCTGCAGTGTGGGCAGAACCAGAATAGATGGGTTCCGGGGTTGCAGTGTGGGCAGAACCAGAATAGACTTATTGCCACCCTGATGAGCATGTCTTAAGGGTCGACTAATTATGTGTTTCTTTTGAAGTTGGAGTGCATCTGCCTGAGCGGCAAGGAACCAACAGTCTGCATACAAATAAGCCAGATCTGTAAAATAAGTATGCATGCAACACTCAAGTTCTGGTACAGGATGAAAATCTAGAAGTGGATGAACAGCCAGAACTTTTCTGTCAGAGCTTACAGCTTGTGAACTCGAAGAAGAAGAAATAGTTTTAGATATTAGGGATCCTTTTGTGTAATGTTTCAAACTTTATAATTACTGTTGACCGTTTGCAGGACGCAGGCTCCTTCAGGGAGGTAAACTCAACAGCATACAGTTGTTATTCCCTCCTGGCATGATATCTGAGTGGTTTCTTTTAAAAAAATGTGTTTATTGTTGTTGTTGTTGTCTATTGTTTTCTTTAAAGCAGTGTTGTCATAACTGTTGAGTATTGTGTTAACTTGAATTAACCAAGTTGACTTTGAAGTTTGATTAAATGTGGTGCTAACAAACTAACTGTCCCAGTTTGCTTGGTAATGGTAGATTTTAGTGGGGAGGTCTCCGTGACAAAGGGATCAATACTAGGCCTATCTGTAGGGAGCAGGTTTTTTTGTTTATCAGTAGTAACCTTGGTTTCTTGGTGGACCCGACCTAAAATGGGCACCAGGAAATATCCTGTGTGATATGACACTGGTTTGGACCAGACATTTTCCAGATATTTTGTCTTGGAGCTGGTCACCTCATTGTTTATGTATGGATGCTAATGTATGTATGTTTGTGTATGTGTGGAAATGTTTGTATGTATGTATGTTTTTGTGTATGAGCATCAGTACATTTGAGTGTGTGTGTTTGTATATGCTTGAATAAGTACAAGTGTTTGTAGAATGGTTGCATATGAGTATGTATAAATATGGTTGAGGGTATGTATGCATGGGTGGATATGCTTGGGTATGTGTGTATGAATGTGTGTATACATACAAGTGTGTGCATGCATAAGTGTGTGTAGGTATATATGCTGGATGTATAAATGTGTATGCATGAGTGTAGGGGTGTGTACGTGTTATTGAGTGTATAAAATGTGTGTGTGTGTGTGTGTGTATATGAGTAAATGTGTGAGTGAGTATGCGTGTACACATGCATTTACCTTCCATGCTTTTGTGTCGTTTCCTTAATATTCATATGCATATTATTATATGAACATAACATGTTTTATTGATAAAATACAACAGCTGTGTGAGAGGTGGGTGTTTGGTAGGGCCAATTTTAAGCGAGCCTGCATGCCTAAGTTGTGATCCTTTGAAAAATAAAATTTATATACTGTGCTTAAGAATGTTAGGCTGCGATGCAAGAGACCCAGGTTTGAATCCCTGGAAGGTCATGGATTTTTCTCTTGGGGGCAAAAATCAAATCCTAACCTGTAGTGTCCGTGGTGACAGCTCTAGCCACGTGGCCTTAAATCCTCAGACTCTAAGACCCCCCCCCCCCCCCCCCCCATGTCTACACCTGAAAAGTATTATATACAGCCAGTAACTGGCATCTTTGTGTATGGCAATAGTAGTAGCTGAAATGGAACTACTTTCACCTTTCATAGCCATGGTAGTTCAGTGCCTGGTCACTTGGGGATCTGTGTTATATGTTTTTATTTCTTCAAATTCTGGTGTTTCTGCATTAACCTTAAAAGGTGGTTGGCACAGTGTGTTGTCATTTAGAACTAGGTCGCAGCACTATTTGCATCGGATTTCTGCAAACCCACATTGTAACCTTTTATAACATGCTTAATATGAAGCAATTGGACTGCCCCCTACCCCGCAACCGCCAAATAAATGGAGCCCATGAAACCATATATAGATTTATTTTAAAATGGCTTTGGGCTCCCAGGTCAACTCAAAAGTAGGTACAAGACATTTTCCTGGGAAGTAAAGGTAGCCAGCCTGATGTACCAGTGTCAGGGATAGGGTCTATTTCATTACCTTGCAAGTTGTGTAGGCTAATCAAACGTGTGTTCCTTGTCCCATGTTTCCTTCTACCGTTGTGATTTGCATGAAGTGGCTCTATGTTGTCTAAACACCACCCTTCCCTTGTCAGTTGATTTTGTTCTTGTTAAACCTTCTCTTTTTTTTCCTTTGCCTGATAAAATGAGTGTAAATAATTAGTCTTCTGTTTCTTCACCAGCTGCAAATTCTGACAGAATGTTTTGGTTGTTCGGCCACTTCTGGACTTTCATCTTCTTCCATAACATGAAAAATGTGTGCACACCAGTTTTACAAACTCTCCTTGGTTTCTCGCTTCTCAGGCATATTTTGGAGGGAAAATCCCTAATTAGTCGGCTTTTACGACATGCTTGTAAGGGAAGCAGTAGGTGTATTCTTGCCCCCAAAATAGGGCACCGGAACCCACGTGTGGAAATAATTCATTCTAAAATACACCAACTTTGAAAGGTCACCAACAGCACAAGAAGTGACAGAGTCATGAGTCCTGACATTAGAGAGAAGGCTTGGAGAAGACTATGTTTGAATTACATTGAAAGACAGATAATGAAGCACAGATAGCTTTCATAAAACCAACCGACCTCCTGATATACGTTTTCGAACAGAAGGATCGAAGAAAATGAAGAAGACTTGATATACACATATTAGCATTTGGCCATTATGCTCTTGGGGTGCATGAGTAAGTGCCCCATGTGCCCATGCATTAAGGCAGCACTCGTAGGCACTCTGAGGAGGAGGAACTGAGCCATATTGGATAATACCTCGGCCAGTGAAGTTGATCTTCTTGACTTTAATAAATACAGTTGCCCGGTTATTTCTCTGGTTTCTATACCTTTCTTGAATTCATCCTCTGTAATATACATACAGTTGCCTGGTTATTTCTCTGGTTTCTATGCCTTTCTTGATTTCATCCTCTGTAATATACATACAGTTCCCTGGTTATTTCTCTGGTTTCTATGCCTTTCTTGGATTCATCCTCTGTAATATACATAGTTGCCTGGTTATTTCTCTGGTTTCTATGCCTTTCTTGATTTCATCCTCTGTAATATACATACAGTTGCCTGGTTATTTCTCTGGTTTCTATGCCTTTCTTGGATTCATCCTCTGTAATATACATACAGTTGCCTGGTTATTTCTATTTTTTCTATGCCTTTCTTGGATTCATCCTCTGTAATATACATACAGTTGCCTGGTTATTTCTCTGGTTTCTATGCCTTTCTTGGATTCATCCTCTGTAATATACATACAGTTGCCTGGTTATTTCTCTGGTTTCTATGCCTTTCTTGGATTCATCCTCTGTAATATACATACAGTTGCCTGGTTATTTCTCTGGTTTCTATGCCTTTCTTGGATTCATCCTCTATAATTTACATACAGTTGCCTGGTTATTTCTCTGGTTTCTATGCCTTTCTTGGATTCATCCTCTGTAATATACATACAGTTGCCTTGTTATTTGTCCGGTTTCTATGCCTTTCTTGGATTCATCCTCTGTAATATTCATAGAACAAACAGATTTCTTTTTCTGAGGGTTACAGATTAGGCTTGCAGGGTCACCAACACATATTTTTCCTGCTGAAAAAGTATTTGTTCTGTAAAGCATGTTATGTTCATATAACAGTATGCATATATTATTATCAATTGTTAGGCTAGTGTTGTTGTTTGAAATGTACTTTTGCATGAATGTTTGATTGTGTGCATACAAGTACTTACAGTTTTTGTTACTATCATTATCTTACTGATTAACCGCGCAGATTGAGAAACATAATGGGTTTCAATGAGTACTGAGAAACATAATGGGTTTCAATGAGTACTGAGAAGCTTAATTGGTCTGAATTGGTATACACGTTTAACTAGTTGTAATCCTTTTGGTACTATACCACTTAGCATACATTCGTTTGGTAGTTCATGGTCAGAAAACCTTTCTGACTCAGTTCTGTTACAGACAGCTGTTGCGTTAATTAACTCGTTCTATTAAGATTGTTTTTTGAACTCCCTGCAATGATCAGGGGATTAAAAATGAAACATTGTCGTTGCTGTTTCTTTCCCTATCCCAAATTGATCTGATTACCTTCTAGCACACCAGTATCACTTTCGTCATCAGTGTCTTTAACAGAGTAGCAAAGGTTTGTTGTTGTTGCATCAGCAGTATGAATAATTGTGATGGCATAATCTCCGCCCCCATGTGGGATGCCTTTTTTTAAATTTTAAAGCCCCATCCTTGTTGCTGCCTGTGCCCCTGATAAAATCTGGCAGCTGAACAGGGTTTTTGGGACCTCTCCATGGGTGATCCTCCTCTGAATGATGGCACTTTGTATCCCCCCAGTGTTTGTCACTCGGTGTGATATCCTTGTGGGGTAAAAAAAGTCAGTCAGTATCAATAAAGCAGTTTTAATCGCTTTTCGCTGACTAATTTTGAAGCACTATGAAATACAACCTTTCAGCACAGAATATATCATTAGCAGTGGCCAAAATATTATTTTTTAGCAACTAGAATCCTTTGTATGTCATTTTACATGCATGTGTCTGGAAAACAGGTCAAAAACCGGTTCGGTTACAGTACTTCCCAGGAATTGGACCAGCCAAAAAATGCTGGTTAAGCAGAATTTAATGGGAATTAGGTACTACCAGAAGTGCTAGATTTGCAGCTTCTCATGGCCAAAGGCTTGACCAAGATATGTATACATATTTTGTTTTGTTACTGAGGTTAAGATTATTGGACTGTAAAAAATTTTTTTAGTATAACCAATGCTTTTATGACATTGTCAGTTAAAGGTAAAAGCCCCTTCTCACAGTGCTGATTGGTCTGAAATGTTTATGTCTAGCCCTATGTACCCAAGATGTCTGATTATGTGGAAAAGGGTCCTTTACTTTACCCATACTGTTTTCCTCAATAAATGAGGCTTGAATTTTTGGAACAAAATATATTTTTATTTCAATTTCTAGGATATCTTTGTTGCTTTGTGGAGTGCTCTATTTTTATAGACCAATCAGCACTCAGTGACTGTTGTGGTCAACACCCCCTTGGCCACTTTTACTTCCGAGAACATTTCGTGGTATCCATTTTAGTTTGGGTGAGCACTGAAGCTCATTTCATTGATGACACATCTAGCCTGGATTTGGATTAAAATTTTAACATGTGGGCTCAGGAAACTTGTTTTCTGTTTATGCAGATGACACTCCAGTGAAGATACCTAGTCGTCCGGGCATCCAGCCGACCCTCACAGAAGAGGAGCCATCCGCAGAGGGACAGAGGTGGAAACGGGTCTCAGTCTCTGGGTCAGACTTCGACATCGACCTGCAGGTGGTGGAACCTTTCAAGAATGTCTTGTCCCACGGAGGTGAGGATTCTCCCTTACATCCTTGTGTGTAGCTTGCATCTTATCTTCTTTTGTTTGTTGTTGTTGTGTGTAGCTTGCATCTTGTCTTCTTTTGTTTGTTGTTGTTGTGTGTAGCTTGCGTCTCATCTTCCCTTTTTTTTTAATTGTTGTTGTGTGTTGGTTTTTCTTTTACTTACTTACTTCTTTTGTTTTGTTTTGGTTTGTATGTTATCTTTCTTGTTTTGTTTGTTGTGCGTTGTGCATGTTTTCTTTCTCATTTAGTTGTATGTTGGTTTGCAAGTTTATCTTTCTTTTGATGTTGTATGATGGTTTGCCTGCCTGCTTTCTTAGTTCTTTTGTTGTGTGTTGTTTCACCTCAAACTTGTTATTGCTACAAAGGGTACAGTGAGATATAAAAGAACTAATCAAACAGCTTTATTGACAGGCAATGACTTGTGCAATCTATTGTTTGTGTCACATTTACAACTGGGAAACATTGCATTGACTTACAGTTATGTCTGTAGACTATATTAGATGTTATCGTGTTGATTCCTTTATTGCCTGAAATCTGTTGATTTCTAATGTAGCATGTTTTATTTATTTATTAAAATGGTTTATACAGATAGCCGCCATTGTGTAGCCGATAGACGCTCGCCTGCAGATTGGAAGGTTATGAGTTCGGGTCATGAAGTTACTGGACTTTTTAAAAAATGACCTTGGCTCCCAGGTTGACCCAGCCTTGAATGGAGAACAGGGGGCTGGTGTGATGCTGACCATATTCCCCATCAAGTGCAGATTAGTCTATAAAATATAGGTCTAGCCCTATATGCCCAGTGCACCTGAAGGCATGGACAGGGTCCTTTTTCTTTAAAGGCTTATAAAATTGACAGCATTTATATACTCTTCTTCTTCTTCTTCTTCTTCTTCTTCTTCTTCTTCTTCTTCTTCTTCTTCTTCTTCTTCTTCTTCTTTTTTTCTTCTTTTTCTTGTTCTTCTTCTTCCTCTTCTTCTTCTTCTGCTGCTGCTGCTGCTGCTGCTGCTGCTGCTGCTGCTTCCTCAGCATTTCCTGCCCTTGAGGTTCATAGCTGCAGATATCACCTCCCTCCACTCATCTCCCTGGTTGGCCTTCTCTTTCCAATAGGTGACACCAAGTGTTTGCAGGTCTGTCTGGACATTATCACTCTGTATTCTTCTTGGTCTGCCTCATGGGCTACGACTTTTTTTCTCCCTTGTGTAATAGTTTTTACCTCTCTGTCATTTGACATTCTCTCAATATGCCCAAGCCGTTTCAGTCTATTAGAACTCATAATGCCAGTGAACAAATGGTGATTTAAACAGATTATGAATTTCATGTTGCTTCTCACTCTCTGTTCCCCGCAGTTTGGATCTTTGATGGGTCCAGAGGTTTGTCGTAATAACCTGTTTACAAAAATTTGCAATCAGGCTTAATCTTTTTTAGTTGTGCTCCAAGTTTCACAGCCTTTATATACTCGTGTTCCTAAAATGTATTTCTTCTTCAATTAGTTCATTAATAAATAATGAATTCTGGAATAATTGTTTGGAGGGGGTTGGGTGGAGGGTGGGTCAGCTGACCTGCTGGAGATGTATGGTTTTCAGCCCAGGATGTTATGCTCACCATAATTATCAGCTATGATATTACCTACCCCTGTGCTTATTTTGTCTTCATCCGACTTGCTCTGCAGGCTACTATGACGAGGGCCTCAGTGCCATTATTGTGTTTTATGGCTGCAACCTACCCAGCCGCAGCAGGGAAAACTATGCCTACATCATGGACCATCTGTTTCAGTAAGTATTTGCTTTGTCGTTCATTTGTTTGTTTCATTACATTGTGGAATAAGGAGCTGTGGTAGGAGAGGGGTTAATGCAGCTTACCTGGGTACCAGGAAATTTCATGGTAGGTAAAAGTGGCTGGCGTGATTTACACCACATTACCCAGTAGAGGTCTACATGGCCAAGTGGTCAGGCCATTTGCCTCATGCCCTGAAGGTTGTGGATTTGTTTCATGAATGTAATGTTCAGTTCGCAAGTGTAATTTTTGTGGAGATCCTAGGGTACTGTTGCTGGAGGTATAGGGTTCCTACTTCGTGTGACTCTATTGGCATGCAGCTAGCCTTTTGATGGAGAGACACTCAAGCTAATGGGATAAAGCCTGGTGCAGTGAAGTTTATTTTCTCAAGTTTAACTTTACTTTGACTTACCCGAACAGTGTCTGTTGGTTTGAAAATTATATGTTGATTCATTCTGTTCCTGTGTGGGCTCCTGGATCCCAATTTGCTGGGGAAGGGGGTGGAGAAATAGACCCACTGTCCCCTAACAAGCATATCGGTCAACTAATTAAGGGTGTATTCTTCAAAGTCAGAGTGAATCTTCCTGAGAGGTGAGAAACCAACAGTTGTATCTGATATCTGGTATTAAAGTTGATGGGAATGACACTGTTGATGTATGATGATATGTGATGTTGATGTGTGGTATGGATACTGCTGTTTAAGTATGGTGACATGTGATGTTGATATGTTATATAACTGTTTGATTTATTTTGATGATGTTGATGTTTGATGTGAATGATGTCATTGATGTGTGATGATATATGATGTTGACATATGATGGTATGTAATATTTGATGTGGGATTTGCCACTCGTGTATGATTTAATGTGTAATGTACGAAAGTATGATGCAACATGGTGTTGATGTTTTCACAGCTACGTCATCCACACACTTGAAGAGCTGGTGGCAGACGACTATGTCATCATCTACTTCCATGGTTCCACACCACGCAGACAGATGCCCAGTCTCGCCTGGCTGAAGAGATGTTACCAATCTATAGATAGAAGGTATTTATTACGATGTGAAGACCAAGGGCAAAATTTATGGAACAGACATTCATGGATCTTTCAGTGCGGAGAATAGATGCCATCTCCGCAGTAAAGTTTTGCAGCAGTGGATCTGCAAACCACTGTTCTGTCTTGCTAGCATAGTATGCTGTTCTTATGTTGCTTGATTTGTTCTTCACATTTTGTCATCTACCTCTTGCTCTCCTGCCTTCAGTTTTTGCCTCCACTGGGATTTTAAAAGAGTCTTATGTCTTTGGTTTGGCCAGATTATTTCACTTGTCTTTAAAAAAAAAACTTCTTCACTATTTTCTGACACCCTACAGAAATGATCCAACTGACACTCATTACTTACCTGACACTTCTAAAGTGAGCAGTGCATTCTGTGAAGCATGCCTGCCACTAAAAAGTAGGCTTGCAGTCACATTAGGCAGTTATGTTTTTTGTTGTTGCTTGTTTAAGATGCCACAAAATAGGGAAGACAACTATTTTGTTGTTAAAACATAGAAGTCGGGAGTAAATGACCAATTTTTAGAAAATAGTCATTAGAAAGAAGAACCCATTTCAATGCTAAAAAATAAAAGTGTAAATTGATTTCACATAAAAATCCCACAGCAACCATTTCACATAAGAATCCCACAGCAACCATTTCACATAAGTATCCCACAGCAACCATTTCACATAAGTATCCCACAGCAACCATTTCACATAAGAATCCCACAGCAACCATTTCACATAAGAATCCCACAGCAACCATTTCACATAAGAATCCCACAGCAACCATTTCACATAAGAATCCCACAGCGACCATTTCACATAAGAATCCCACAGCAACCATTTCACATAAGAATCTTACAGCAACCATTTCACATAAGAATCCCACAGCAACCATTTCACATAAGAATCCCACAGCGACCATTTCACATACGAATCCCACAGCAACCATTTCACATAAGAATCCCACAGCAACCATTTCACATAAGAATCCCACAGCGACCATTTCACATAAGAATCCCACAGCAACCATTTCACATAAGAATCCCACAGCAACCATTTCACATAAGAATCCCACAACAACCATTTTACATAAGAATCCCACAGCAACCATTTCACATAAGAATCCCACAGCAGCCATTTCACATAAGAATCCCACAGCAACCATTTCACATAAGAATCCCACAGCAACCATTTCACATAAGAATCCTGCATAAACCATTTCACATAAGAATCCCACAGCAATGAATTCACATAAGAATCCTTCATCAACCATTTCACATAAGAATCCTGCATAAACCATTTCACATAAGAATCCTGCATCAACCATTTCACATAAGAATCCTGCATAAACCATTTCACATAAGAATCCCACAGCAACCATTTCACATAAGAATCCCACAGCAACCATTTCACATAAGAATCCCACAGCAACCATTTCACATAAGAATCCCACAGCAACTATTTCACATAAGAATCACACAGCAACCATTTCACATAAGAATCCCACAGCGACCATTTCACATAAGAATCCTGCATAAACCATTTCACATAAGAATCCCACAGCAATGAATTCACATAAGAATCCTTCATCAACCATTTCACATAAGAATCATGCATCAACCATTTCACATAAGAATCCTGCATCAACCATTTCACATAAGAATCCTTCATCAACCATTTCACATAAGAATCCCACAGCAACCATTTCACATAAGAATCCTGCATCAACCATTTCACATAGGAATCCCACAGCAACCATTTCACATAAGAATCCTGCAGCAACCATTTCACATAAGAATCCTGCAGCAACCATTTCACATAAGAATCCCACAGCAACCATTTCACATAAGAATCCCACAGCAACCATTTCACATAAGAATCCCACAGCAACCATTTCACATAAGAATCCCGCAGCAACCATTTCACATAAGAATCCCACAGCAACCATTTCACATAAGAATCCCGCAGCAACCATTTCACATAAGAATCCCACAGCGACCATTTCACATCAGAATCCCGCAGCAACCATTTCACATAAGAATCCCGCAGCAACCATTTCACATAAGAATCCCGCAGCAACCATTTCACATAAGAATCCCGCAGCAACCATTTCACATAAGAATCCCACAGCAACCATTTCGCATAAGAATCCCACAGCAACCATTCTACATAAGAATCCCTTAAGGTGTATTGGGCATGTAGTGTTAGACCTACATTTTATAGATCAATTGGCACTTGGTGGATGATACATTCAACATCATGCTAGTTGCCTTTACTTCCCATTTCTTTACCATGTACCTTTTTAAGGCTAGTTCAGATTTAAACCCACAATTTCTGGATCTGCTGGCAAGTCTAGCCGCAACATCACAGTGGCTAAATATGAACTAACCATTTCATTCAAGAATTCCACAGCGAGATAACCATTTCACTGTTAGAACATAGATACTTGAAATGAGCTTGACCATTTTAGTGATGGCTAGCTGATTGCTTGCTTGTGTCTCCAGGTTGAAGAAGAACCTGAAAGGCTTGTTCCTGGTCCATCCCACGCTGTGGCTGAGAACTATTGTTATGATGACAAAACCATTCATTAGGTAAGCAACTTCTTTGTCCCGATATTGACTTACTGTTGTTCCTTTCTAAGTTTATTCCTGTCTGTTGTCCATCCCTGACAGGAGCATCTTGACCAGTCCTTTATATTCTGCAAAATTCTGTGGGACCCTTGATGCTGTAGTGACTAATGATTAGTGAGGATTATCATTACACCACTCCAGACAGATCCATAGGAGCTCAGCTCTGATCCCCTTTTTAGAAGCTCCACAAGCATAAAAGGCCTGATGATGCCTATTTTGTGTTGATTAATCATACATCTTGTCCTCTTGGTGAAAAATTCATTTCTAGCAGCTTCAGTTGCAAAGAGAAGGTCAAAAACAGAGATTAATGAAGGCGGGTAATATCTGCTGCAGTGAACCCCAAGGACTCAGTTTGCCGAAGAAGAAATCATATGTCTGATTATAAATGCATTTATGTTTCCACCATTACTGGTCCTAAGCTTGGATGAAAAAGGAGGACGTTGGAGTGTGAGATGTGGTCAGTTCCCCCACCCTGTAAAATGATCAACCGCCTTGCTGCGGAAACTTGCCAAAACCCTATTGATGGGAGAGGCTTGAAGTGCAGGACTAGGCATATGATAGGGAATATGATATGAAAACCCCAAAAGCTGTTTTGCCCTCTTTAAAGGGTCATTATAATGTAACTGTGTTCATCTTGACCGTGATGTCATGTGCTAAACACTCTTGACATCCTTAACAACAGTACTGACATGTTACAAGGCTGTGGCAAAGTTATTGCAGTTTCTTTCCCACTCTGGGGGTTTTCATTTGAATGTCCTCGTATTACTGAAAAAATGTGCACAGTATAGCCTGAAATGGAGGAAACCCTCATGAGCCCTGTATGACATATAACGTAGAAAAGGCAAAGCGGTTTTATAATCAAACTGCTGCTGGTACGGGTACGATCATTTTTGGAACTCAGTGCTGGCTGCTGAAGATGGAGATGGAGCGCTTATGGGAATGTCCTGAGTTTTATGTTGCTGGTTTTTAACTCAACTTAGCTGAGACCTGTAAGTGGCTAAACGTGATCTGGATGTAATTTTTTGGGTGTTTTATTATTTATGTTTAATATACTTTGGTGTATTCTGTATTATTCACTTAATTTTACTTTTTCAAATTTAGCACCAAGTTTACATCAAAGTTGAGATTTGTCCGCACGCTAGAGGAGCTCAATGCCCTTGTGCCCTTGACTAATGTTACAATTCCAGAAGCCATTGTTCAGTAAGTTTTCCTGTCAGAAATTTCACGCTGTCCTTTTGTGAATGTATGTATATGAATCAATTGTTGTTGTTGTTGTTATCGATCCAGCGGCACATGAGCTTTCGCCCTTTGGCCCAATGCCATGTAGTGGAATTTGCATGTTTTCACAAGCTGTTCTTTTCCTCCGTACAAGGTGTTCCACTTGTCTGGTCTCGGAGGGAGTAGCGTTCTTCTTGTCTCACTGAGTTCTGGGCACTCAAAGAGATGGTGTTCAACAGTTTCGTAGGGGTAGTTACATAGCTGGCACTCTGGGGAATGTTGTGGCTGTATTCTGTTTAGGTGTCCATTGAGTGGAGTATGTTGAAGATGGTGGCCTGGTCCCTTCTTGTTAGATGGTTAATGCTGTCATTAGGATCATGGCCAGACATATGTCTATAAACCTCTCTTCCAGTGTCTCCCATGGCCCATCTGTTCAACCAAGTCTCTTTGTTTATAGCTCTTATCAGTGTTTTTGCTGTCTGGAGGGTTGTCGCTGTAGGTGGTTGTTCTTGTGTTGCTCCTTTCTTTGCCAATCTGTCAGCTCTGTCATTACCTGGTGTGCCGGAGTGACCTGGAATCCACTGCATCACTATTCTGATGTTGTATGAGGTAATAAGCTGATCAGCATCCAGGATTATCTTGGCTATATCAGTTCTGCAGCGTTCACTGCCCTCCAGAGCTTGAAGGGCAGACATTAAATCTGTGAAGATGACAATATTTTGGACCTTTGAAGGGTAAACATCCATTACAGTCTTTAGGTGGTATACTGCTGTTTCCAGTGCAATTATTTCAGCTTCATAGTTTGAACAGAATTCCCCGCATGCATCAAAAATCTCTTCAACAGATCCATCGGGATAACCTATGTAGATTCCGTAACCTGCTTTAATGGTAGCTTTAAATGCTGATCCATCAGTATGGACATGTATCCATTCTTGGGGGTAAGAATCAACGGTCTTTAGTGATGAGTTCATAAGAGTGATTGGGTCGGACTGTTTGGTTTCCCCGCCTACCAATTTAGTTCGGACTTCTGGAGCTTTAAAGCGAGCATGTGGTGGTAGGTTTCTTGCAACATTCTGAATTCCTTGACGTCTTTCTAGGAGGTGGTATCTGTCCTGAATTTCATTAACACAGTGTAAAACCGATTTGTGCTTTATTCTTTGTTTGTATTCCCAGTTTTCTACAAGATATCTATTAGGATGGTTACGATTTTTCCTAACGCATCTTTCATAAATTTCTAAAGTGGCTTTTTCTCTCCGCAACCCAAGGGGTTCCACATTTGTATGGATTTCACATGCAGCAGTTGGTGTAGACTGCATAGCTCCGCAGATTAATCGGAGGGCATTATTTTGTACTCTGTCAAGAGTCTCTAGGTTAGTTTTGGAGCAAGTTGTAAGCAGTGAGTTGTTTTACTCTATCACAGAGCGAACATATCCTAGATATAAGCCCCTCAGAGTTTCCTTGTCTGATCCCCATGATGTACCTGCAAGTCTCTTTAATAACTGTAACCGCCTCAATGCCTTATTCCTGATGTTTTCAATATGGTTCTTGAGGCTGAGCTGCCGGTCAAGTGTGACTCCAAGGTATGTGGGATGCTCTTCTTTCATCACTTGGTGTTTGTCTAACCTCAGGTTAATATTCTTCCTTGCTACTTGGTGGCTTTTGGTAAAGATTGTGTAGACCGTCTTTGCACAGTTAACCTTGAGTTTCCATGAATCAATCAATCAACAGTTAACTGCACTCAGGACATCCCAACACATGCTCTGTCTTCTTTCTCAGTGACCAACAAAAAACTCCTGTAATGGTGGTGCAATTTGCAGCCTGATTAAAAGTTGATCCTCCTGTTCATTTATACATTGAAAACAGTACAGACACTCCTCCTCCCTCTAGTTGAATCAGTCTTTTGAGGTATTGATCCAGCAAGAGATGAAGCCACACCATCAGGAGCAACCTAACAGAAATGAACACCAACTTGAACAATGCATTGGAAAAAGTGCACAAAAGATCCTTATATCTCCCCCCAACACTTTGCTGAGGTAAATGGCGGAAGAGAAGAAGAAGAAAAAAGTACTCTCCTCTGTCACATTCTCATTTTCATCCCAGCAAACCATCACCATGTCCACTTTATCATACAGTAGCTCATGTCTCACAGGAACCAGTGAGCAAACAAAGGAACTTTATTTCCAGAGGGTCACAGATTAGGCACGTAGGCCTGTTTTACATTTCTCCCATTCAAACTCTCATCTTTGACACTGCAGTTGTATTTTATAAATCTAGCATATTATGTTAACATATCAAAATTCATAGTGTGAATGTAAATTCAAAATGCGGAAGCATGGATGACAAATGCATACTTTCAAATATACATGCAAAAATACACACAGAGTGAAGATACACACAAATCAGAAAAGATGTTGAGAGAGTGGCACAACCAGTCTGTTTGCCTACTCCTTATTTAGCTAATGCAGGCCGTTACACTTTTATTCCACAGTTAAAAATGGCTGCCACATACTCATCATCATCATGTTACGTCTTCTATCCATCTCATTGGGCTCAGCTTTATTCTTCCGTCAATCTCATTGGGCTCAGTTTTATTCTTCAGTCCATCTCATTGGGCTCAGTTTTATTCTTTAGTCCATCTCATTGGGCTCAGTTTTATCCTCCTATCCATCTCATTGGGCTCAGTTTTATCCTCCTATGCATCTCATTGGGCTGAGTTTTATCCTCCTATCCATCTCATTGGGCAGACAGTTTTTTTTCCCTTTTATCCATCTTATTGGACTTGAAAATCTTTCTTCTGAATTCCATTCTTTCATATGCAGTATTTTCAAGTTTGCTTATGGAATTCAGTCCTGAACCTTTGGTCTCACTTATCAACAGTCATCTTCGGGTTTATGTTGAATCCCTAAATGTTTCTCTCAGTCCATTAGTTTCCTATTACACTGCATGTGTATTGTTTCTGTGTCTGCTTCTCATTATGTGCACAGTGTATCACCATCTTTCTTGTCATATAACTGTTGATAATGGTGTTTGTCCATCATTTCATACACACAATAGGAGTTAGTTGCGTATCCTTTACAGAATGTTGCAGAACCAACACCAACAGCCTCTGTCTGTTGTGTGGGTTTTTCTAGGCAAATTACATCCAGTAGTTTGCTATTGCTTCCTGCACGGTCAGCTGGCTTTCTTGAAACCACTGTCGAAATCAATGCAAGGCGCATGGCCTGCAGCTGGGGTCGAACCCGGCATACCTGCATTACAAAGCGTTTGCAACAACAGCATTGTTGCTGTGGCTGGAGTGTCCTGAAATGTATTCATAGTTATAGTAGAAGTAAAAGTAAATTATATTCATGTTTGTTTATTTGCCCGTGTTTGTTTATTTACCTGTGTTTGTTTATTTACCTGTGTTTGTTTATTTACCTGTGTTTGTTTATTTACCTGTGTTTGTTTATTTACCTGTGTTTGTTTATTTACCTGTGTTTGTTTATTTACCTGTGTTGGTTTCTTTTCAGCTACGACATTCACCACCAGCACCTGCCCTCACCTCCCCCATCCCCCTCCCACGCTGCATCTTTGGATTAATTTATTTGTGACCTCAGAATGTACAAACCTCCCTGCAGATTCCAGTGTCAATGTGTGGGTAAGTTATTATTATCATAATTATTTTTTTTTTGCTCATAAAATTAGTCTATATTTTATTTTTCTAAAATTACAGAACTCATTATTTGAAATTGTCTGTACATTGTGTCTTAACCATTTCTCCCCATGAATGCTAGATAGAAAATAGATAATGAACCCATGAGAATTCTCAAAAAAGTCTCTCAATATATTTTTCCTCATGCAGGTTACTAATCTTTGAGTCCCAAGGAACGCATCATACGTTCATAGGTTCCCGTCTAGAGGCCCAATAAACGCAAGATGTGCCGAGTTTAATCTCTTTTGACTACCACTTGGGCCTCTGATGCTAAACCCCCTGGGACTCAAAAAGTTAAATGTATTTGTCTGCATTTATTAAATTTTTTCAAAATTTATTCATCTTGGTAATCTTAGTTTCAGCTTCATAGCAAACGGGTCACCCCAGAGTTGCTCCGCTCCTGTGCCAACGAAAAACACACAGAATGTTTATCACAGTCCCTTGTGGAAAGGTTGACAGACTGCTGACTCAGCATATGCACTAGCATATGCATATTTTTTTAAGAAATATTTAAAGATATAGAGTAATTTTGCTTCTGCATTCAACCGAAGATGTAATTGTGTTGTGCCCGCTTACAGCATGACTACGATAATTGCGCCTTCCTGCCAACACATCCATCTTTTGCAACTATTTGTTGACTGAGTTAGTCTTCTTCTTAATAGAATAATTAATAAACATGAATATAGTGAAATAATAAATGGAATACACCCCCTCAGGCTTAAAACAAATATAAATATGTATAGGGTGACTCTTGCTGCGATCCATATCACTGAGTCTTGTGGGATAATTTTACATCAACCTGGCTTTCAGACAGCTGTTGAATTCACAAGACCTCCCCATCCACACACACACACACACACACATGCACGCATGCACACATACTCCCCCCCCCCCCCCCCCTTCCCCACCCACTTTCAGATAGTTTTTTTGTTTGTTTATATATTCAAAACCAGGGTCTTCTAAACACCGGTACGGTGTATATAGAACCACTGGCATTTAACTTTGAGGTCCCTTCAGACATGCTAGTACATCTGCAGGACTGGGTCACAGTTATTTCTGCTTAAGAGGCGAGGAACCAAGTAAGCCAGACCTGCAAATGGATGTGCATGCAAGTCCAGACATGGATGAAGAGCCAGAATTGTCCACCAGTTTAAAGTTGAAGATCATTAAGAAAAAAGGAGATATCCTTTCTGATTCAGTGGCTGTGGGTTTGAATTCCTAACAAAGCAGTTATTAAAAATGACTATGGCGTCCAGCTCGACCCAGATTAAAAATTTGTACCAGGAAATTTAGGTGCATATTTTTGTGGACCTGTGGACGTTCAGTTTTGGGCATCTAATCAGCAGTGTTTACTTTCTATTACATTGCCTGGTACCTTACTTTGTTAGTACTTTTCTGCTTTAATACTTTTCTTCTTTGGTAGCTTATACCTTACTTCCTTGGCACTTTACTGCCTTGTTATTTTACTTTCCTGGTACCTTACTTCCTTGGCACTTTACTGCTTTATTACTTTACTTTCCTGGTACCTTACTTCTTTGGCACTTTACTCCCTTGGTACTTTCCTTTCCTGGTACCTTACTTCCTTGGTACCTTACTTCCTTGGTACTCTACTGCCTTGCTACTTTACTTTCCTGGTACCTTACTTCCTTGGCACTTTACTCCCTTGGTACTTTACTTCCCTGGTACCTTACTTCCTTGGCACTTTATTCCCTTGGTACTTTACTTCCCTGGTACCTTACTTCCTTGGCACTTTACTGCCTAATTACTTTACTTCCTTGGTACCTTACCTGCTTGGTACTTTACTCTCTTGGTACTTTACTACCCTGATACCTTACTTGCCTGGTACTTTACTTCCTTTTACTTTACTTCCCTGGTACCTTACTTGCTTGGTACTTTACTGCACTGGTACTTAACTTCTTTGGTACCTTATACCTTAGTTCCTTGGAACTTGTACTGCCTTATTACTTTACTTCCCTGGTACCCTACTTCCTTAGCACTTTACTTTGCTACATTACTCCACTGGTACTTTATTTCTTTGGCACTTACTTCCTGTGTACTTTACCTCTGTATACTTTACTTCCCTTGTACTTGTCTTCTTGGGTACCTTTCTTGGTACTTTACAACCCTGGTACTTTGCTTGCCTAAGTCCTTGATGCTTTCTTTTCCTGTTCTTTACTTCCTTGGTGCTTTGCTTTCCTGGTATTTTACATCCCTGGTACTTTACTTGCCTGGTACCATATTTCCTTGATACTTATGAACTATTTGCAATGTGACCAACATGATATGGTTTTTCCTTGTTTCCCTTAGGTTGGAGGAGATTGCAGTGGTAAACTTTTAAACTGGACAGCTGAAAGACGGAAAGACAGAGGGAAAGCATGAAAAAGACAAATAAATTAAACATTATAGCATAGATATCACCCATCATTATCATCACCACCACCACCACCACCACCATCATCATCATCACCATCATCATGTGCCCTGTCAGGTGGCATAGGCGCTTATGTCTCTACACAGATTTGGATCCCTGGTATTTTTAATCAATGTTGTAACCAGAGGTGAAGAAATGTATGCACACTTCAAGTAATTGAAAACAAATTGTAATACTAAATTTATACAGAATTGTTGGGAGAATGCAATGTACATGACTGACTTCTATGGTTACATGAAAGGCTTAGAGTAGTTACCATTATCGTCCAGTCTTCTTCTGCCTTCATCCTTTAAAAGGTGATTGACACATTCTGTTGTGGTTTACAGCTAGCCTGCAATATCTGTACCTTTTAGCACAACACAACTGATTTCAACAAACCCTAAATCTTGTTTCTACATTCTTGTTAACCACCCCCCCCCCCTCTCTCTCTCTCTCCCCCCCCCCCCCCCCCCCACTTCCTTCCTGAATCCATATGGGCTCAGAACCCACACGAGGAAGACCCCTATCATTACAGAAGACAACTGCTGCCTGGGTTTTGGCTAAAGTGTCCAGAAGGATTGCTGCACATACTGTTTCAATTTCTGTCCAAAGGTCGATGCTTGTGTCAGTAATGACACCTGAAGGGGCTGGAAATGAAAATAGAGTTGCTGACAGAAGTTTTAACAAGAAACAAGTTGAAATATTTCCGCTACATTCCTTTTTCTTCTTGGTCGCATTCACCAGCTGTAAACTCTGGCGGAAAGTTCTGGTTGTTCATCTACTTCTGTTCCAGAACCTAAGTGTTGCGTGTGCATCAGTTTTACAGATCTGACTCACCTGTATGCAGACTGCTGGTTCCTTGCCTCTCAGGCAAATGCACTCTGACTTTGAAGGAAGCTCCCAATTAGTCGACTCTTACGACATGCTTTTGGGTAGACAGTTGGTCTATTCTTATTAGGGCCCAGGAATCCTCTTGGGGATCGGCTAGACTAAAAGACATAATATCCTTTTAAAAATCACACTGCAGAGAATTTTGAAGGTAAGAGAGAGAAAGGTAGACAATGGTGGAAGTGGAAGGACAACATCAAGAAATGGATGAACACAGGTCTGAGAGAGCGTATTACGTGACAAGAGACAGAGTGTGTTACAGATCCATTGCAGCCACTCTTCGTTGTTGAGATGGCACCTGATTGGGTGATCAAAATATTTTGGATTTTGCTATATGAAAGGTTTGAATGAGCAAATAAAGAATCACATAAACAGTCTTTAGCTCAACATGAAATTAAAACATATGAATAAACAAACAAGTTAGAAGAAATAACTAGTGAAGAGACAGTTGAGATTTGGACAAGTTATGGTGTGCGACACATTTCATGGGTTCACCAGAAAAAATGTATCATGTATAAAAGGACTTTATCATTTCAACTTTATAACACTTGTCAAAATTTTTATTATGCTTTAGTGTTAAAGAATTCTGAAGATTTTCAGTTTTCTGAGTGGCAATAACTTTTACATGGATAAAGATCCAAATGAAAGAATACATTCTTGTTGTACAGTCAACAATCAGTGCCAAGGACCGTGGAGCTGTCCTGCTGGGTTAGGGAGCAGCAGCTGCTATGACAGTGAAGTCCAATGTGGGTTTGGCAGTCTCTGCCACATTGTCTGGTAATGGTAATCCTAGTTTCAGCTTCATAGCAAATGGGTCACCCCATAATTGCTCCGCTCCTGTGCCAACGAAAAACACACTAGCTTAGTGTCACACCATGCACTCAACTCAGAAGCTGGGCGACTAAACTATTAAAGTCTACATTGTCTACATAAAAACATTGATACACTGTTAGGCTGGGTTTCTAAAAATAAGTTCTTTGAAATAAACATTACAGATGAAAAAAAGAAAATGCCAAGGATAATTTGATCTAACTTCAAGAAAACCCATGGATGATATCTGATAAAGTATTCATACATTTTTTTGGCTGACTGTTTCTCTTTATCTGTTTGCAATAGAAAAATCCTGGCAAATGATAAAATGTGTATATTATAGCCTCATGCAGTTTGTATACCATTTCAACCAATCAGCTGTCAGCATTCCTCTTTCCTCACTAACAGGCACTTCTTGGCCTCATTACATCATGTGGTGGGTCGGCCTCATTACATCATGTGGTGGGTCGGCCTCATTACATCATGTGGTGGGTCGGCCTCATTACATCATGTGGTGGGTCAGCCTCATTACATCGTGTGTTGGGTCAGTCTCATTACATCACATGGTGGGTCAGCCTTATTACATCATGTGGTGGGTCAGCCTCATTACATCATGTGGTGGGCCGGCCTCATTACATCATATGGTGGGTCGGCCTCATTACATCATGTGGTGGGTCAGCCTCATTACATCACATGGTGGGTCAGCCTTATTACATCATGTGGTGGGTCAGCCTCATTACATCATGTGGCGGGTCGGCCTCATTACATCATATGCTGGGT